CATAGGGTCTCCTGTATCTGGATCTGTGGTTATCTTGTCTGGTTCTTCAATCTCTCCTGTAAGAAAGCCAAGCAATCCATAGCCTCGAAGTGTGGTGACTATTTGTTGTTCTCATATGAGGAAGTTTTTGTCACTCAGCTTCTCAGAAATAAGTTGGCTTTGCAGGTGAATAGTGGTTTCATTTTGGGTTGAGGTAGAGGCCATGATGAAGAAGGAAGAACAAAAAACGAGGAAAAGAAAGGATGGATCTGAGCTTAACCAAGATGGCTAGCTCTGATACCATAAAAGGAAATCAGAAAAATAAGGAAACATAAAGATGGAAAGAGACATTTTCTTCATTGATGTTAAACTTGGTTTTTGAACCCTTACAAGCAGCTTTCTGTCATTTCTCTACAGCAACAAGAACTAAGGAAATGTATTTATACAATCAATGCACTACTCAGCACCATTGGATCGTTTACACGTGCCAACTCTCCTCTACAAGCCATTGAATGGTTTTGCAAGCTTTTAGGGTTAGTCTTCTTGTCTTTTAGCTCAAGTAAATTTCTGCTGCCTTTTTCTTTTTCTTGTTCCATGCATGATTTGTCCAATGATGTGGCAATGCTATAGACAAGACCATTGACTTCTCCAAGTTTGTTGTCCAAATCATTTTCCACGTGTGCATGCAAGCTGAATAATGGAGGACCCCCCACTGGCTTATTCCATGCTTCCTCCACCACCTCTGCATACCCATTTTGTTTAATCCATCTCACATCAAATATGAATCTGCCTTTACCATGATTTTCAGCACTGTCACTAGTTAATAACAAGAGTTTATGATCAGAGGCTGAAAGGGTAATGTGCTGGACTAGGGAGTTTGGGTTTTGGAGTAACCACCCAGGGGAAAAAAAGAATCTGTCCAACTGAGCTTCAACAAAGTTCCCCCCCACCCTGTTATTAGACCAAGTGAAAATGTGACCATTAATCTTAGTCTCCCCCAAACCCATATTACACACAAAATTCCTAAAGTTGACAAAACTATGAGCATCCCTATTTCTCCCCCCATTTTTCTCATTATTGGACAAAATATCATTAAAGTCTCCACAAACAAACCACATATTACCCCATTTCCTACTAAGGTTCAGGACACATTCCCATTGGAATTTTCTAACATCAGCAAAATTACTAGCATAAAGAAAAACAGCCCACTGAGGTTCTTCACAACCTTGGCAAAGGAAGTTCACCTCAAAACAAAAATCAAGCTGAACAATACTAAGAATAATGACATTCATAGACCACATAAGTAACAAACCCCCTTTAGTACCTATAGGTTTAATATAAGACCACCTATCACCTAACTTAAACTTCTTACAAACACAAGCTACAATTTTTTCTTATTTCTTGACCTCAGAGAGGAAAAAAAGATCTGGGAGGTGGTTTTTAAAAACCTCTTTGCATTAGGAAATTGTAGAGGGTCCCCCCAAACCTCTACAATTCCACACCGCAACTCTCAATGAGAACTGTGGGACCATTTATGGCTGGTCTCCCCCACCTTATACAAATCAAACTCACAAGACAGTTTGACTCTTTTAGAACTAGAACCCAGGCCCTCCTCAAGATTTTCTGAGCAATTAAGGAAGGGAAGGACCCTTTTGTGACTCATGGTTAAGTCATTATCAGAGTCCTTGTTAAGAAGAGAAAGATCCACCTCCATTTGCTCTTTGATCACTTCTAGTTTACTACCCTTCCTGACTGAGACCTTCCTCCTCCTCTTAGGCATTATTTCCCCAGAGGGAGAAGATTGCACATTGACTTCCACCAGATGGTTATCAATGCTGAGAGAAAGATCCTGAGCCTGGGTTTCCATAATGCCAGGAGAAGCAATCAGACCCATTTCCCCAGACCCAATTTTACTTCCACTACCCTGCCCTTCCTCTACACTCTCACTCTCTGTACTACCCTTCTCCCCCATCCCACTACTGTTAGCACTGACACTACCTTCCTTAGACTGGTAAGGGATAATATCAGTAGGGTTTGCAGGTTTGGTAACATCCCCACTAGGGTTGCTGTCCTCTTGGTTAGACCTAGAGGACTTAGAATCAGACCAGCTAGGGGAATAAACCCTCAGCCAATCCCCAAACTGCCCTACTCTCAGCACATTACAGCTTACATCCTTCTTTTTGACCAGACTGTGTCTCTCAGAGTGGCTAATCAACCCACAATAAAAGCAGAAAGTCTGCAGGTTTTCGTATTTAAAATCCACCCATCTACTATCTCCCCCTAGCTTGATAAACGCACCCCTCACCAGAGGTTCTTTAATATTAACCTCCACCAGCACTTTGATAATATTACCTTGTTGAGAAGCTCCTACAGGAATGTAGACATCAAGGACTTTTCCTATCAGCTTGCCAATCTTTATTCCTGATTCATATCCCAACCAATGTAGAGGAAGTTGATGAATCTGAAACCAGAGCTGCACTTTTTCATCTTCCTCTGAGAAAACTACTCCTTCTGGACTCCAGTTCTTCAACAATATGTACTGCCCATCAAATGTCCAGGTTTTCCCCTGTAAAACTTTAGCCCTATCCTCATCATTCTGGAAGATGAACTGGAAACTATTCTGCCCAATGCTCCTTATTTCAAAGGCTTGTTTTGTACTCCACACCATATTAAGAGTCGCCCTTAAGCCATTGAAATTGGCTCGTTTCTCTCTGTAGATTTTGCCGACAAGGCTGTTTTTACAGTTCTAGAGACCTCGAGCCACATCCTCATCTACTAGGTCCACCCCCGATTCTTCCTTCTCCGAAAGACGGAACTTATTAAGCTTATCTGCCAGATCTTGCTCCATAAGAGTCCCACCGCACAATCCCAGAGTCCTCCACACCACCCCTGAGCCGCTATCGAGAATCTAAAGGTCTAATAGAAAATCCTAAAGGCGCAGAGTAGAAAGAAAGAAGATGAAAGCAAAGGGAAATACTCAAACAGACACAGGACGAAGACGCACAAGAGCGACGAGACAGGAAGAGAGGAGAACGCTAAGAATAATCCCAAAAAAACCCAGGGAACCCTAATCCTAAATCAGGAACTCACTATCTCCATAGCAGAGAGAAACCCTAAGTACAGGGACCGTGCGTAGTTTCATTTATATTGGAAAATTTTATTAAAAAAAAAGACATAATTTCGTTCTTACAATATTATATATTGTTATAACCTACATTCATATATAAAAGTCTAGCATAGGCTTTAATTTAGTCGCCACCTACAACTCAGAGTGATATATCCACAGCCATGTGACATATAAGATACTTCAAAAATTACAATTTTGTCCATTAATTATATTGGTATGAGACTCTGATTCCATATTTGGTTCAGACGAAGTAACATCAAATAGTGACAATAAGTTGCGATTTTTTTCTTTTCATTTTATGTATATATAGATATATTTGAATCTAGGTGGTGTGTTCTTGGCTGGTTAATTATGTTTGACTTTGTTAATTAGTTACAGAGAGATTGTTGGGAAGGGAGTCTAATATAATGTGTGTGTTTCTGTTCATCGACCTCTCCTCTATGAACAATTAGAAGATGAATACAGATTGAAAGTAGCCATGAATCATGTGTAAGTTGAGAATAATAACTTGAAGTAAGATATCGTTTATTATTTCATTATATATTATTCAGAATCATATTGAAAACGTCGAATTAATCGATATATATTCCCAGCCACAAGCAACTCGATCATCTGATTTAAGTTTTCACGCCATTTGGCGTTGAGTCTTGAAGAAGTCATACGTCTCGTATCTTACAATGCAACTCCCGGAGAGAAACGCTCCACCGACTGGACAAGTAGTTGTGTTGTTGTCGACCATGTACCACGTAAAATCCTGTAGCAAGTAAGGCATACATTCACGTGTGCATTCGAGTTTAGAAAGATCCCTGCTGCAAGCACCATTCCGTGTATAGTCACGCTACTTTCCTTCCAGGGGACTTTTCCCTTGGCGAAAAGCATATCCGTTTGATTTGCCTGACGATTAAGCTTACTTATCAACTGCATAACCGTCGCATAAAAACCTATTGGGTCGACGTTCACGTTGTTCTTGTTTAACGTGTAATAGTAGTTATAAGTGTAGGCCGCCCCAAGGAAATAGTAGTCCGCGTACTTCAAGTAACAATGGTCGTGCCACACAATCGCAACCCGGGTTTTGCAGTTTTTTGTGAGCTCGTCTCTCGCTTTATAGAGGCAGTTGGTGCACTCCTTGCCCGAGATGTCTCGGCGGCACAGGGCGATCCCCGTGCAAGTGTTCGTGTGCGGGAGCTGAACCCACGTATGTCCGATCTGCCCTTGGGGACTGCAACCGCCGTTCGGTTTTGATGGCGCGCGGATCGGGGCGTGCAGGATGTTCGTGCCCAATTTTGATGATGATAATATCGTTGACGAGGATAGCGATGAGTTTCACCATATCGAAGATGAGGATAGCGATGAGGATGATGACGACGTGGTCGACATGAACAATGTCAATAAATTATATGTCAATGGAAAACTCTCATTTTTGCCTATATTGACTAAAAGTAGGCAAAATTGTTGGAACATGTAACTTGAGCTACTACATACTACAAGCTCGTGATATACTTATATGTTCGTGTTTATGTGCATTGTTTTTTTCATTTTGCGTGTGTTTTTGTTC